GAGTCCAGCTGGGCTTTTTGTCAAGATTGTTTCTCCTTATGCTCACTGCACTGTAGGAATGGGAGAGAGCTCCCAGGATTACAGTACTACACCACAGTTAGTTACCAGAAGAGCTGCTTAGCACCAAAGCATGAAGCATGATCCAGTGAAAAACCTCAGAAATGCTGGTAAAGCAAAGGAGTTAAAATGACTTGACATCAGAAGCAGGTTGAAGAACTCAGTGGGCCCATCACTGAAAATCCCTCGGCCGGCCAGGGATCGTCAGTAGTCTTTATTTCTCAGGGAAGCCACTCTGAGACTTATGTTTTCTTCTCTCAGATACGATGTTCAGAACTAAGATTTTCCTTTTTCGTTTGGGCTGTTGCTCATCACACGACACTTCTCACCAGAGATGGAATGGGCTGCTGTGGCTTTGGACAAAACTAGCCTGATCTAGGCACTCTGCTGAGCAGCTAGCTGCCACTGCCCCAGAGCTTGCTGCATGGCAGTGGTGCTGTGTCTGATTAGTTTGTAAAGTGCAGTGGGATCCTGTGTGAGGAACGTTACTATAAACTATTGGTAACAGCTGCCTGTGCTGTAGATCAGTGGTTAGCGTCAGCAGTTTTCTGTGGAAGAAAATCCTTTGGCTGTCTGTGTGGGTTCCTAAGCTCCAGGGAAAGCTGAGAAATGAATCCAAGGTAAAGGAAGGTAACGCTGATATATAAATGAAACCAAGACATATTTTTACGTACATTTTTGTTTTTCATTAACATGGTCCCAACTGTGGAGGTACCATCTAGGAAGAACATGACCTTAAATTCCCTTTAAGGGAGTGGGAACAGTTGTAATAAGGGCAAATCAATGCAGGACCTTTTACATTCAATACAGAGTATAAATTATGGACCTAAGCAGGTAAAGTATTTACAAAAGTCACACCAGCAGAGACATAAAACAGGAGATAACAAATAATAATAATAATAATAATAATACGCACCAAAGTCCCCGTTCTTTGGCACTTACAAGCTTAATTACAGGGTAATGCAATCAAACTGGTGATTAATCATAAACTTTTTTATCAATGGAGAATGATAGAATTTCCCGCCAAAGACTCCAGCTCGCATTTTGCTATCAATGTAACTCCATCGAGTGCATGCACAGAGACAGAAGCTTTCCCTGTTCCCCACCTGGAAACCTGAAATAGCTTCACTGGAGTCTGTGGAATTACACCTGAGTAAAATCAGTCTGAAATAATCACAAGATAACAGGATTCTACCTTAAACTCAGATTCCTCCACAGAGTCAAATAATTGGACTTGAATCCATGTACCTACTGGATGATCAGAAATTTTAATGGCATATGTAGTGCATTGCTTTGTATGGATAAACTACATGTTCATTAAAGACATTAAACTTGTAATCTCTGAGGGGAGGGCCCTCAGAGAATTATCCCTGCCCCCAAGAGTCCACAGAGTACCATGAAAGACCCCAGTGAAGGAAAGCCATACCTCATTCTGCTGGACAATGCTGTTACTATAATAGGAGGGAAATGGAGGGGTTATTAAAGAGCAGAGTGATAGTTTGCCACAGCCAACAAGGATAAAGTGGTCAAGAGTTTACATATTCAGATTCCTGTGAAAGGAAAAGAATAGCTTCCTCAATCCCCCGCTATTGGATTCCTGGCTTTATTGTAACAGCCCCAGTGCAAAAGCCAGTCTGTATATGAACATAAACAAAGTCAGAGCAAGAACTTACATCATACTTTGGAACAAATAAAGCCTGGGGGGAGAAATACCTCTAACTTACTTAAAGTATATGCTGATGTAAGAATGTACAACGTTTCAGGGTCCCTTTGTAATAAACTCCCACGCTGCAGCCTTAAACCTTAATGGTCTGTGAAAGTTATTATTCAATGTTTTTAGCATTAAATTTCATTCTGACAGGACTTTATGATGTATATTACAGGAGAATACTGTTAACCTAATCATACTAATACCAAATCTTTGTAATATAATAGCTTCAAACATTTTGAGCATGGCACAACTTGACTTTTCATAAATACAGAAAGATGAAATCTTGAGCGATGTTATTTTCCTACTGATCCCCCAAGTCCATCTGTTAGAATTGCTAAAGATCAAGGGCCACTTCTTTTATTTTATTTTTATTTTTTAAACTGAAGAGTGGAAAAAGATGCTTGGCTTCCTAGGGCCTAATCCTGCACATTTTTATCCGCAGAAACAGTCTCTTCAAGTATTTATCTTTTTCTTTTCAAGACATGCCTGGTGTAAGTCATGTCTGCAATATAATTCCTTATTTCTGGTACTGATGACAGCTTAAATTATTAAAAGGAATTTGAAAGTCCTTTTTAAGTTTCTTACTTCTACATTATTATTTTCCTTTCTGCATTTCATTTGGTTTTCGTAGCAGAAGGAGCCATATCAGAGTCACTTTTTCCTTCTGTTTATTAAAACAACTCTGTTTGTTTGCCTTTCATGAACAGTTAAATCCAAAGAAAAGAAAAAAAAATGCAGTTAGTAAATACTCAGAAACACTCACCTACTTAAAGAGAAACTGAATTTGCATCCTAAAATTGTCAAGAGGGGCCCTTTAAGCTTGTAACAGGAGCAGATTCTTTTAAACTTTCCCAGAAAACAGCAGTGACCTTGCAGATCAGATAACCCATGGTCTACAAGAGTTCAAATATGTCATCAAGACTTTATTTTACTGCTTGATGTTCCTTGGCCTAGTTGCTCCAGTCAGTCTAATTGGCAAAGCAGAGCTGAGCACATGGTAGAACTTGGATAAATGAGACTGCATGTCGGAGGCTAGATTTTTGCTGAGTGATTGTAATCTGATGGGTACAAAATATTAAAACTAATGGAAACATTTGATTAAAAATATGATACATCTTTGCACACAGTATTATCACAAAGCCATCATAGACAGCCAGCCAAGCGCTTAGTTGTAGCACAAATGAACATGATATAAACACACAGGCCCCAGTCTTTCTCCTTCCACACAAAGCTCACAAGAAAGATACCTGGGTTCCTCAGACCTCTGTTGGCTCTAAACGTTTGCACTGAGAGGCCAAGGCTTGCTGGCACCGCTCTCAGAAACGCAGATGGTGCTACAAGCACCTTCTGCCTGAGCCCTGTGACCTCCAGGGAGCTGGTGCATCTCCAAGAAGCCCTTAACCTTCTGAAGGGGTCACCTGTCTTCTTGTCAGGTCCTCTGAACAACCTTTAATCTCTATGTTTTTTATTCTAGAACAATATCAGACGGTTTGCTAGAAGACCATGCCTTTTTCAGCAGTCTTCCTGATGTATCAGGAACTTCACAGAGGACTGAACAGGAGTGGCAACACCCTACTCTCGCTGTAGCTGGTTTCAGCGAGGCTGGGTGTTCACCAGGGATGCTGGAGTACCTACATGCTCTGCCTCCTACCTTTAAGGACAAGCACCTCAAAATACCCCATTTCTTTTTGCTTGCTTGCCAGCTGGATTCTGGTGACATATTCAATTTTTCTGTGCCCTTACTCTTTGTTATTGGTATGAGGATGAAGTAGCCCATAAGCAAAAGAAAGAAATGCATTCTAGTTAGCATAAAAACTGTTCCCCTTAATTCCTTCTCTAACAGTTTGTAGCCTGTGAAATCGAAAAGGCATTTCGTGTTTAGTACAGAAATTGACTTTGGTATATCTTCATTGATTTTTACTATCAACAGAGACTTTCTATTGCATTTTTATGAGAAGATGAATACTTTACGGAGTTGTTGCAGACGTAGCAGTTAGTCTCAAGGGGTACCAGCTACATTTTTTTTGACTCCACAGTGAGCCATTTCAAGGATGTAAACCAAAAGACGACTAATTACTTCAGCAACAGCTAGTGTCTAGATTAGTTTAGGTTTAATTTCAAACTGTGCCCTTAGGCTTCAGTTCAGCAATGTATTTAAACATATGTTTATCTGTTAAGCATATGAGTAATTCCAGTGTACTTACATATTTAAATTTAAGCATCAGTTTAAGTCTGTTCCTGAATTAGCTTCTAAATCATTTGCAATCTAGCCTTGTCTCCAGTGAAAATCATTACGTTACATCCCTGGATTGCTCCAGAAACAGGAAAAAATACTCTGTGTACTTCTTGAGCAAGTTCTCTTGTTTTTACACTAACTTTTTGTTGGGGTTCAGCTTCTGTAAGCAGCTCCAGCCCCAGCCTGAATGCGAAGCTGAATCTGGGATTTGAAGAAATACTTTGGTTTTGGTCAAAATACGCTCAAACTCTACATAGATTTTAGAGAGGAGAGATAAGGTGGGGGCATGGCTTTATCACGTGTTTCAAGTAAATATGTGCCCTTCCCCTTTTCCAGATCCTCCCCTTCCCATCAGAATATTCCCTAGGAAACTTCCTGCCCTTTTCAAGACATGTTGCAATTAGCACTCATACCATGATACACATGCACTGGACACAAGCTTGAGCCTGGCAGAGATTCTGTGTGTATTTTGGGTTGGACATAAATATTAAGGGTTTATCTCAGTTTTCCCTCAGGTCAGATTCGGGTACTATACTGTTTTCCAGTTGAGAATCACTGCCAGATAGTCTCATGTAACTTCACTGAATCTAGCCATACTTCCTAGCCTGATGCAGTGAGGACTAAGGAATCCCATGTCAGTATCCTCTGAATTTTTTTAGCTTTATGAAAAAGACCTCCCTGCCGTGGTCAAGTAGATGGATGTTTTAGACAAGCTGACTGAACCTGACAGTTTTCTGAATGACAGCAGGTGGTGACAGATGAAGCACTGACTTACACAAAGCCACTTAAGTCATGAGCTGGGAATCAAACAATTATAAAGGGAATTTAGAATGGAGAGACATCCTATTTTTGATTTTGATTGTTCTTTTAAAGGGGACACCAATGCTGCGACACTTGTACAAACGCTTACGTTCTTCCTAGGCTAAGTTAATGTTAAGGCCGTACAACATTTCATACTTTGGAAACAAAACATCTCTGATGCAGCTGTTAATGAAAATTGACATTCATATTTTATTTCGAGCTTTTACTTTAATCCCACTGAAATGTAATACACGTGCAGAAAGATGATTCCTCTTTTTTCCCCCCATGAACAAATATCCACAGTTTAAGGTTGTAAAACTGAGCAATTTAGTAATGATGTAAACACAAATGAAAATTAGCCAACAAAAGAAATTCAATGGAGTTAAATAGGAGGCTATTATCATACCTTACATTCCCTTCTGTCACTAGCTGTAGCACCATGGAGAATCAGTAAGGTAAGAACTAACCATAGGGAACAAAGCAATTACCTGCTAATATGGTGCAGTAGTCCAAACACAGCAAAAATAAATTATAAATATGAATGCTACACAAAGATATAACTAAAGGTTTATGCATTTCCAAAGATATATGCTATTCCATACTAATTTTTAATCAAATTGAGTTGCACCACAAGCAAGTAAAAAAAATAACAGTTAGCACAAGCAGATCAAATTAAATGTAAATATTTCTGAAGTCAACACCAAGACTATAATCTCATCTTTCAAGGTATTCGGTTCTTCACTTCCTTTACCGAGTTAGGGAAGCAAGTAGACTAGATTCCCCAAGGCTCGTCACCCTCTATTATTATTTATATTTTTGCCCATTTACTCTAACTGCCACAGATTCAAAATGGTAGCATTCTAGAGCCACTCTGCACTCATTTGGCACACGCATAAAAGTGCACACACAAAAGGCAAAAGGTAGTAGGAATCCCAGGCAATATAAGTTTATTTGATTGTAGTCATTAGTGCTATACATTACAGGTTCAATCCTGCTCCCTTTGATGTTGATGGTAATACTCCCATTGAATTCATGTGCTCTGAAAAATGCCTGAGTTTTGCAAATTTATCATTTTGTCATCTATGCTTCAGGTCAAAATTATAATCTAGTGTTTTAGACTTGATTCTGAGCCAAATGATTTTTACTACAGGTTCAAAGAATGCAAACTTGTCCTTCAGAGAAGTGCCAATCCACTTTACGACGACGAGTAGGATGTTTGAGGCTGAGGGATCCAAGGGATACAAACATCCTGCAGGTGACTATAACCATCCTGAGCTTCCAGGGTCTCACTGCAGCAAACAGCAAGGATGTCACTCTTGCGGGGTGCATTGTGGCTGTCTCCTTAGAAAGGGTTTGGAAAGTTAGGATACCAGATACAGGATACCAGAAGCTAAAGAGACTTTCCAGCATTCTTAGTGTTATGGAACTGCATCTCTCTCAGTGAAATACCTTAAGTCAAGTCCTCAGTCATTCATGTTATCCAGTCCGCCACTTCTAAGTGAAGTAGCTTTCTTTCTTTTCTCATCCTCACTTTATGGCAGCCTCTGGTAGAGAACACTACATGGCAAGAGATGTTATGTAGTGAGAGATAAGTTCTTCTTCTGACTGCAGGCATTCAACCACTTTTAACACAAGTATTCAAGAGGCTCTGAAACTAGACAGGTGAGCGTCCCAAAAATGGGACTACGCTTTTCCCGAAGTCAACAGGAAAGAAAAGAGAATATGGAAAATATTAAATGGATGTCAGATTTAGGACATGTAGGATGTAGGACTTGTTGGACTTGTAGGACTTGTAGGACCCTCCTCTACTTCTTGTTTTACAGTGCCAGTGAAAAGAGGGGTGAAAAATACTAATACCGTGCTTCAAAAATTACTACATGTCAGATGTAGGACTTGGATTTTGAAAGGATATCTCTCCTTCCCTGCCAAGGTTAAAAGCACGAGGAACCAGAACCTCACCAGAGGACTGGTAACCTGCCGCAGGCTGTGAAGGAATTAAAGAAGGTGAGAAGATTACAGGAAGCTGCAGGCCTGATCTCCAGAACTGACCCTTAGCACTGCCACTGACTTCAGCTGGAGTTAGGAAGTGTTCAGCGGTCCACGAAATCTGGCCCTGAAGAGATTATTTGCACTGGTTTTACTCAAAGAGCGTGTTGCAAAGATGCCACAAGCAGATTTACCATTTCCAGGCAGGTCTGGAAAGAGCAGATAGGGCAGCAGACTGAAGCAAAGAAATATGGCATGTGGCTGGTTGGGCTAAGTTCTCAGCTCTGGAAGAACTGGAGAATGGCTGGTAGAGTTGGTGAGAAAAAACATTGCACGTCTCATGTGTTTTTACACCAGAGAGCCCAAGGAGAATCTTTTATCATCATGTCTTCATTCTACATAGAAAAGCGCATATAGACATCTGTTGATCTCTGCAGCTAATTTTCTCTGGAGCCAACACATTTAACACATTTAAACAGGAGGCAAATCTGTCTTGATGGAGCTATTCTACCAATTTATCCTATCTGATACTCTGGCTCACAATTACTAATGCATCAATGTGGCATTTCTGGCAGAGGGAGACAAACGTAAGAAGAAGGTACTTAAGACATTCCTAAAATAACTTTTCTGCGGTGTATGTGATACATACTCCATGCTGATTTATTGGCACTTATCAGGAATTATATAAGGTAGCCTGCAAAATTTGATTAGGGCCTCGCCACTAACGAGTAATGCAGCCTAGCTGTCACACCAGAAGAATATTTGTTCCCCTCCCAACACATCATTACGTTAGCAGTCTACACTGTTACAGCGACCAAACTGCTATTCACCTCCGTGGGAGCAGCACTGAACCTATAATCATGCCAAAATACCCTCCTCTACTTCTTGTTTTACAGTACCAGTGAAAAGAGGGGTGAAAAATACTAATACCGTGCTTCAAAAATTACTATCGCTACCCAGTTCCACAACAAAATTCTGATGGGATTTATAATACGCCTTTAAACTGCCTTGCAATATTACAAAGAGGAGCTGTCAATTTGGGGAAGAGAGAAAATGTTTTTCTCCTGATTTGTAAACTGGGTTTCCACGCTCTGCCTGGCTAACCCGTGTTTTCACAGCTCACCAACCCGCCTCGGACACCGACACGTGCGCTGGTCACTTCCATGCTGTTAGGTTGTCAAAGTGCACTGTCAGCTGAGGACTTTCGGTAAAAAGTTCACTGCAAAAGAGAAGCAAGAACTGTAGCGGCTCTTCTTTAACTCAATGGTGATGGAAGAAAAGGATTTCCACTACAGCGTCTTTGCTCTGAGAATTTTAGTGTGTAAATACGTTTGTCTTATTCACTTCGACGCCGTCACCCAGGCTCCCTTTCTTGCCCGTCCTTCCGGCCGGTCCTTCCATTTTTGGCATGGCAAAACCATAACGAGAAAAGAACAGCCCTCTTCCCGCTCCTCTTCCTTCCCCTCATTAATTTCACCTTCGTCCCTTTTCTCCGCTTACCTCCGTGGTCAGGCTAAACTCGGCCTAACTCCCAGCACCGGCTGCCCAGCCCGGCCCCGGGCCCAGCCCCGACCCTTCCTCCCC